AACAACATTGCAAGCAGCTAATGAACTTTTCATATAATCTTATAATGCTGTTTTTTGTAGACAAATCAACCAGTTTTCGTGAGGTTATTACAAGGTGCTTTTAGACTCTCTCATTGTGATTGGTTGTCAGGGACACAACGATTTAACGTAGAGAACTGTATTAAAACTCTATCAGATACAGGTTAGTTATCTCCCCTTACTTATTTACATATTACATTGTGATTGGTGGTAACGTAGAGAACTGTATTAAAACTCTATCTGATACAGGTTAGTTATCTCCCCTTACCTATTTATATGTTACATTGTGATTGGTTGTTAATTTTGCTTAAATACATACAGTTGTTTTCAAACACCTACCAAAAAATGAATTAACTTAAAATGTCTAAGTAAACCTTAAGTTTTGGGGTTCAAAAATTAAAGGTTGAATTTTTTTAGTTAAAACTTCCAGCTAAATTTAGGAACACGTTTCTCTAGATTTTGGTGTAAAGTTTATAGTTATTGGATCGAAATAAATTTGACATTTGAAAATTCTAATTTGTAATGTATATTATTACAGCGAAGAGTCGAGGTATTGCGATACCAGTAGACTTGGACAGTCAGGTGAACAGTTTATTTGAGAAATCTCAGATTGTTTTAAAAACAACGAACACGTGGATGAAGAAACGATCCAATAGAATTGATTCTACTTCGAGCACACAGAGAGATTATAGAAATATTATAGAAGGTTTACAGGTTCGTAACTCCTAAAATAGTCTGCAATATCAGCATCTGCTGGAAACGAACGTTAACTTGTAAACTACCAACCAACTGTAACATTTTCTGGTTTGTGATGATGTTTCTCACAAAGGTGATGTCTATAGTGCTTCTACAGTGTCCTAAAGCAGTGTTATTTAAATATTTTTCTCAATTTCATCCTATATTTTGAGAGTAAAACTTGTTTCAAAAGACAATTTGACATCAATGACATCCCTTTGGATATATTTCTCAAGTTGGGGAGGTATAATTTGTAGTTTATTTTTATGTTCTTGTGTCATGTAGGATATTGTTTCTACACTAGAAGATCAGCTACGACCTCTAGTACAGGCAGAGTTGTCTGTCCTTGTTGATGTGTTACACCGACCAGAGTTATTGTTCTTGCCAGGAACAGACGCCAGGAAGAAATGTGAAAGTGGAGGCTTCATTTCGAGGTGAGTCAGAAAAGCTTTACATTTCAAAAGCATGTAATCTTTAGTGACTGTTGACATTTTACGCCATGTGACCCACTGGTGCCGCCGTTGCCTTGATGATGTCAAATTATTGTTTTGAAATGAGGTGCTGTAGGGTTTAAATTTTCCACAAAAACAATCTCTGCTTTCGATGAAAGTATCTCTTCACTGATGTTGACTATTTTAGGTTAATAAAACATACGAAGACTCTATTAGAAGAAAAGGAAGAGAAACTCTGTATCAAAGTTTTACAGACGTTGAAAGAAATGATGACAATAGACATTGATTATTCAGATAAGGTGAGGGCAAAGGTCATTGGATAATCATTTCTATAACCTCATTAATATTTATTAATTAATCTTATGAGTATTCATTAACTGCACTGAATATTCATTAATCATATGAGTGTTCATTAACTGCACTGGATATTCATTAACTGCACTGAATATTCATTAACCTCATTGAAATCCATATACAATATATGTAATCATTTATATGCTATGTTAAGACACAAGATGGGACAATAACACAAGGCTCTGTGTGCTATAGGCTGTGCATGTTAAATATCCTGTGACAGTATAAGATAAAGAAAACAATGTCTCATGCTGATGGCAATATTTCCCTCATTGCACACTGCATGATGTTGGCTATCTTACTTCACCCAATTTAGAGCACACAAAACTCATATCTTCATTAATGTTTATATATCTCATTAATATTCATATATCTCATTAATATTCATATATCTCATTAATATTCATTAAGATGGACTGGAAAACCCTGTCTAAAAGAGAATTAGATGACCATCGCAGGGTAAGGATAGTCCTTGTTGTCCAGTGATCAATTCAGTTGTATTTTAGAATTATCTTCAGTCTGTTTCAGAATCGCTTTCATTTTTCTCAGAATTTCTAGCTTCATCCAAATCTTTTTTTGTCATTTGTTGTATTATGTTGTGTTATATCGTGTTGTATTGTAATTTATTGTATTGTATCGTGTTGTATAGTGTGTTCAGTTTTTTTTTTAATTTTACATAAATTTTACGAATTTAAAGAATCAGATTATCTTATATTGTATGTTTCTAGCACGTTCTGTTTGTTGTATAAATTTCATTTTGTATTTTCTGTGAATTTTATAAATTAGAAAAAAAATTGATCTAGATTTTATTATCATCATGCGGATGTGAGATTATTATCGACAGTTGATTTAGAAATGTCATAGAAAAATGTTTTACTCAGATTATCAATATTCATTTACAGTTGGTTCTACTTTAATATGAGAAAGATATAATTTTACACTATGGTAGAGATAAGACCAAGACTGTTCTAGTTGACAAGACTGTTCAGGTAGACAAGACTGTTCTGGTAGACAAGAATCTTCTAGTTAACAAGACTGTTCTGGTAGACAAGACTGTTCTGGTTAACAAGACTGTTCTAGTTAACAAGACTCTTCTAGTAGACAAGACTATTCTGGTAGACAAGACTGTTCTAGTTAACAAGATTCTTCTAGTTAACAAGACTGTTCTAGTAGACAAGACTATTCTAGTAGACAAGACTGTTCTGGTAGACAAGACTCTTCTAGTAGACAAGATTCTTCTAGTAGACAAGACTGTTCTAGTAGACAAGACTGTTCTAGTAGACAAGACTGTTCTAGGAGACAAGACTGTTCTAGTTAACAAGATTCTTCTAGTAGACAAGACTGTTCTAGTAGACAAGACTGTTCTAGTAGACAAGACTGTTCTAGGAGACAAGACTGTTCTGGTAGACAAGACTCTTCTAGTAGACAAGACTGTTCTAGTTAACAAGACTGTTCTAGTAGACAAGACTGTTCTAGTAGACAAGACTGTTCTAGGAGACAAGACTGTTCTAGTAGACAAGACTGTTCTAGTTAACAAGACTGTTCTAGTTAACAAGACTGTTCTAGTAGACAAGACTGTTCTAGTAGACAAGACTGTTCTAGTAGACAAGACTGTTCTAGTAGACAAGACTGTTCTAGTTAACAAGACTGTTCTAGTTAACAAGACTGTTCTAGCAGACAAGACTGTTCTAGTAGACAAGACTCTTCTAGT